CGGCCGCGCCCTCCAGGGCAGCGCAGCAATTGGCTGGGGCTGCGCGCGGAGCCTCCCTCCCTCCCTCCTCAAAGGTGACAGCAGCAGCAGGATTCAGGGGTGCCCCCAAGGAGGGAGGGGGGGGGATGATGCACTTACGCTGATTTTAGTTGCGTCCTTATTTGTTACCTGGAGGGACAAAGCAGAGGGGAACACGGTTACCTGCAGTCGCAGCCGGCGGCGGGGCCCTGCCTGGCTCTGGAGGGGGCTCGGGGCGCGCACACGGACGGAGCCCCCCAGCCAAAGACCCTGCCTCGAGGGGGGAGCAGCGACCTGCCCCAGCCCCTGCCGCGTCCCCTTGCTCGTGGCCTGGCTGGGAGAGGACACGCGGTGTTTCTATACTGCTTCTGTGTCTAGCCCACGCGAATCGCTTCATTCCGGGCTCCAACCAACCATCCACGTGCAGGGTCTCCCGGGCTGGACACACACACACCCCCAGCCAAGCTGCAGGATCCCCTGGGCTGCACAGACAGACACCCCCACATCCACAGGGCCGCAGGATCTCCCGGGCTGGGCGCGGACACCCGCCCGCAAGGCTGGTGCCTCCCTCCGTCCCCGCAGCGCAGAGGTTTCTAGCTGGGCTCCCCCAGCTCAGCACAAGCCTGCGCCGCGCCGGGACCCGGGCACCCTGGGGCCGCGGTCGGCCGGGCTTTCCCGGGCCCGGCTCCTGCCAGCCCCGGGGCGCCCTTCCCCGGCGGGGGTTTGGCAGCAGGGCCGTGCCCGCCCGTTACCTTGCTCCTGCTGCCAGGGGCGCTGATGGCCAGCTCGTGCGCCAGCTCCCTGGCTGGCTCCTTAAGGTACCACCACTGGATTTCCAAGGAGTAAGAGGTGGATCCGCTGGCCCGAAAAGCGCAGGGCATCTCAATATCGTCTCCCTCCCTAACAGTCACATCTTTGGGAACTTCGGTGAATGTCGCTGGGAGGAGGAGACAGAAGGACAAGGGGCTGGTTAGGGGGGATCAAGCCCTGTCCGTGCGGTCCGATGCGTCCGAGAGACGCCCCCGGTCCTTCCAATGCAGCAGCGTGAAATCCCGCAGCCCCGGCTCTGTTTCCTCCGGCTGGCGAGGGCTTTGCCCTACCGAGCCCGGCGTCTCCTTTCCATCCGTCCAGGGACACGGCGCTGCCCAGAGCCTCCAGCCCCGGCCGGCAAGGTCCCCTGCTCCCTCCTCTCGGGGGCGAGGGCTGGAGCTCCTGACCCAGCCCTTCCCCTGCCCCCTGCCCGCGCTCCCAGTCCTTCCCGGGGGGCTGCCTGCCGGAGGAGGAGGAGGAGGGAGGGCAAAGTTGGCTACTTACCATCGGCAACGAAAAGCAGGGGTGCATTGAACATCAGGTAACAAAGGGCGCCGAACAGCCCCCGATTTCCCATTTCATATATGTCGGCTTCAGAGTGAAGGGCGAGGAGAGAAGTCGGCGCGGCGCGGTGCGGCGCGGTGCGGTGCGGCGCGGTCAGCGCCCGCCTAGGAGAT